CATTAACCTGTACTCTCCACTATCGTTTCAAAATAAAGTCGCGTAACCACTGAAGTAGCGTGTTGCCGATCGAGTAGATCCTCGTTTTACGAATGAGTACATCGTGGTTTAATCTGGCAAACACTTTACTAAAGTCGATGTGGACCAAGTCAACTTCCTCCCGTTCGTTAAACGCTTGCACTCACTAGTTGTTTGCGTACATAAGGTTGCTGATGCAGCATCGCCCTTTCGTAAAGCCTTGTTGCGCCGGCAATACGTCCATCGTTACTACGAACAACAGCAGACCCTTTTCATAATCTGCTCGAGAAATTTGGATAATATCGAAGTCAAACAGATCGGTCTATAGTTCTCTAATTTACTCAGATGACCATCCTTGAGAAGCGACCTGACTATCGAGCATTTCCAGTCATTGGTTACAGATCGTTCAGCGAGTGATTTATTGAATAGATTTGTCACAGCTGGTGAGATGACATTAGATAGGGACTAGAGTATTAGTAGGTGAAGTTCGTCTGGTCCGGGGGACTTTGCACCATCGAGGTTGACGATTAGCTGATACACTTCGGCTACATCACATTCTAGGCTGTCGAGCAAAAATGGCATAACCTGTGCGGATACTAGAACATCCGCTGGTTTACTGTAAAATACGGTGAGGCATTGCGGAGTCAAGGCGTCCGCATACTCCACGCTTAAGATGAGCGAGTGTCTGTCCAAGCTCTTTGAGACCGGTAGGTCGCCGGTAGGTTTCAGTTGACGTTTCAAGTAGGCAAGTATTCTCTTGGGTGCGGTTGTGGCAGAGGCTGCTAGCCCATCTTCGAACTGACGAAGTTTCTTTATCTTTGCGGCGTTACATATGCTAAGCTGTTTCCTGGACACCGTGTAATCTTCAGCAAAACCTAAACGATGTATCTATCCCAAAGTTTGCGACGCTGTCGCGCTAACTGTTTATATTCTTTATCAAACCAATGTGGTTTGAAGGTCCGGCTTTTAAGTACTTCAGGGGAACGAACCGAATACACAGCGAGTTAAGCTTTTCATTCATTAATGCCCAACAGGCCCAAGCGGCGCGTCCTGTGGCAGTGTCCAATCAGTCTGACTTGCGGTTTGGGCGAGCCCGTTAAAGTCCGCTTTCCAATTGTTGAATGTTGGCTTCCGTTGGTTGTAATACGGTATAGACAGTTCTATGCTTACCACAGCGGAGCACTGGTCACTGTTCGCTAGAGGTTCGAGAACTCTGAGCATTTTCAGACTCCACTCGAAGCTTGTAATCATTAGGTCCAAACAACATGCCCAGTGCGGAGTTATGCGCGTCGCTTGGCTGACATGTTGTGTTGCCCCGATTTCAATAGTAATTTTAACGAATCGAGACTCAACGTCACCATGACCTGGAAGAAGCCGAACCTCTGACCAGATGATCCTAGGGAAGTAGAAACTGCGGGCGGCTCATGTGCTTCTGTACATGTGGTAACCAATCGCAACAACAGTTTAATCGGCTACGGTAGATAACACTCACTATTAGTTCTGTGTGTGAGGGGGATGGAGCATCACAGTTATACGTATAGGTTATATTCGCTCCGATAGGTAACGATAAGTTTGTCAGATAGTGAGGATTTGATGTACTACAGAACATCACTGTGTGCCCTTAATTTTCGGTCGCATCGGAAACAAGAGTTTCCTGATTAGGCGACTTCCTGGGGTATAACGTCGGAGTTTAACCAAGTCTCTACAAGTCTTAGGAAGTCCAGCCGCTCCGATACAATAGTGCCACAGTTCGTCACGTTAGCATATTAGACTGCACACGTTGGCGAATGCCACACGGTGGTCGGGGAGGTACCGCGTGATGTGCCTGTTGAGCGACCGGTTGGTACGGGTTCGTACACCCTTCCTGATTACGCTCAAATTTACAATGTGTAATTCAGCCTCACCTTCTTCTGTACGGCGTTTGGATTCAAGGACCGCAGACTCCAAACGATCGCTATCCTCGGGTTTCATGTCTCGGCGGATGTGAACCTTTATGCCTTTCAACCTTGACAGACGAGATAGTATGAACTGCGGCGTGTTATTATTAACAAAGCTGGTTCTCAGAGGTTGACATGACTGGTTAGTTTGCTGGCAAAGTCAGACTACTTGTTTTATCGTCACACTGCCTTCACCCACATCCAAGAGTCTATCGACGAGAGGTTGTTACTGCGCGAATCACTTCTATCCGTTTACATCGGCTGTGCGCGGATTGGTTATAACTCACATCAGCCAGTCAGGCATCTCCCACGCTTCCCCATTCTCGCAACGCGAGTTCCGTGAGTATTGTAGCTACAATTGATTGATAAACATACTGCTGGAATTACTGGTCTCGGAAGGATGCGTTACATGCTTAGCAGTATTACGTTTTAGGGACAGCTTATAGTAGACAACTGGGTATACTCTGCACAACCGGTCGATGGTGGGCGGTTGAACTGCGAATGGGTGTTCGGCCCATCAAATCAAACGTGTTTAGCTGGTTAATGGTCGGATACGCATTGACATCACAAATTAGTCTTATTGACATCCGGCTCCCTATGGTATGTGGGCCATGTGAGACGGAACAGGTTACGAGTATTCCCGGAGAGTACGGTGGTCTTTAACGCCGAAACACGTCTGGACCACCAAGCTTCGTGCTGGTTGAGCAGGCTTGCTTGAGCCACTCTATTTGCAGAACAGAACGGTTTATAATGATCTGATCGTGCTGGGATAATTCTGCTGCGGTCAAGCAGTTCGGGAAAGGAAGTGGAGATCAGTTGGCCTGTTGTATCACTTTTACAGTGTCTCGCTTTCGGGACTTCCATGAAACATTTGCAGACATTCGCACAGATCGGCTTATGAGCTTAATCATGATAGGTCATTCATTCATTCCTTGTACACGTTAGCTTCAGGTGGAAAACACTTCAGCTATTGTGCCGCAATACAAAAGACAAGAGGAAGAAGAAGATAGGTGGATCAGGATGATCGGTAGTCTGTAAGTTGCCTCAGTATCTAAAGTTACTACAATAGGATCAGTATCAGACCATACTTGTATTAGTGAAGGGTGCTCTAAGTTACAGTCCATCTTTTACTAAGGCAGAGGTTAATGCTAGACAGAAACAGCTGCTTGTCTTCGCACAGTGCTTCAGGTCCATCTCTACTATCTGAACGGAATTCGTTCAGGGCGTGATGGCTACCATGGGAGGGTAGGTATGGTTGATCGACGTGCCATTTAGGATTGTCTACACAGGAGAGGTGTGCCCGAGCAATATGTAAGTGTTATCCGAGCATTATACGCGCATAGCTCGGGCAAAGCGAGGGTTTACGGCAAGTTATCGCAGCCCTTCAATGTCTCTAGCGGTGTGAGACAAAGATGCCCGCTGTCATCTTTTTCTTTAGCGCTATTGACGAAGTCATGGAGTTCGCGTTCACAGGGCACGATTTAGAAGATGTGGAGCTGCTTCCAGAAGAATGACTCCTTGATTTGAAGTATGCTGACAATATTATCCTAATCTGTGAAAACCCACAAACGTGCCAAGCTGTACTGGACAGCCGCTTCGGGCTTTGTTTTGTACCCTCGAAGTGTAAAGCTTTCCTTCAAGATTGGCATGGGTCGCCTCCTGCGCTGACCATTGGTGGGGAACAACTAGAATTATCTGGGAAGTTGTATCAGGGCCCTTGGGATCAAAGAGAAACTCACGAACTGTATAGAAAATGCTCGAGGCACGTTGGCTAATGTTCGCCACATATGGCGCCGGCGCAACATCACTCTCACCCTGAAGGACAGAGTGTACAATGCAGCGGTACGTTCGATCCTACTGTACGGTTGTGAAATCTGGTCCCTTAGATCAGCCGACATAAAGAGGACAGTTACGTTGGACCACCGGTGCCTCAGCAGTTTGGTTCATATCTGGTGGGAACACCGCGCGAGCACCTAGCACAGAAAAGTGCACAGGAAAAGGAAATGAGCCGCTCAGCACCGTTATTTCACTCACCAGGCTTCGATGGCTGGGCCACGTGTTACACATGCCAGCCTGCCTGTTCCCACGACGTGCGTTGTTTGCGCGCATGGACTGCGATGAAGAAAGATGAGAGGCAGCCAAGCGATGACTCGGTCGAGAGGAATGAAGGCCCTCACTTCGAAGCTGGCCTCAGTTGGAGCGTCTCGGCTTCCTGGTTGGGGTCCCAAAGACGAGGAACTCGTCTGGCTGGATACACTTATTGACATGGCTAGAAGCCGACTTCATTGGCGTTCGTGCTTTGAGTTTCTTTGTCCTACCCCAGTCGCTCAGCCTCCGTCTCCAACCACGGTCTCCATTCTTAGCGGAATATATTTTGGCATAAGAATATAGTAACCGGGTGGTAGCTTTCCGGAACGATGCCCATCCGTTACCGGTAGCTCAGCTGGCTTGCATCTGTTGCTTTTTCCCGTTTTTGTATTGGGGCAAAGTAGTTGATGTGTGTTCTACCTATAGCTAACGTGTATAATGATGGTGATTATTATTAACTTATTGAAATTCCAAGGGAGGACAACGACAATTGATTATTCATTTTACACGAAAGCTGAAGTTCACCCTGTAAGTCATACTTTACCGAGCCACAGCTGCAGTCAGTTGGAGCGTGCGCAGACATCGTAAACAATTAGCGACTGTCCTCGCAACACCTGTTACTTTGGTGTGAGCCTAAATCTTTAGATACAATGCAGCCGAGAAGAGTAACGGAGAATACGTCGCCCCCGCATGATTCACGAGGTCGCAATCTGGCTTTTAGCTACCTAAGTGCCTCGGCCCTGTTCTCAGTCAGCGCTCGCTTTGTGTCTGGAGCATGGGTCGATGGTAAAACCAGGGTAGCAGTAGGTGGTTAACCTTCAGCAGTTCATCGCTACTAACCCTATGTCAACAAGGACGATAACAATGAGGGTGGCTATTTGTGCTAGTGTAAAGTGTGAACAGTATGCATTACGGAACTCAGTGCTTCTCATCTTCCTTCCATCTTTCTTTCTCCAGCAAACAAAAAGAACGCAAGTTATACAAAAAACAACATGATTCCAAGCCTTGGTATCTCAACAGTCGTTACACACGTTTGCAAGAACCAATGGAAGGCCAACCATTCAACCTCTTCGTTCTTTTTGTCACGCTTATACTTTGGATATTCTATCTGTTTGTGTTCTTGAGTAAGTCAAATGTTGTCATTTTTCTTAGGTTTACACAGAATGGGCACTAATGCAGAGTTTGGTTCGCTGTTAGGACCCATCGTTACTACTACTACTACTACTGCTAATAATAATAATGATGATAATAAATTCTGCGTTTACACGAGACACGCATGGCAAAGTATGATCAAGCCTATGCTAACTGCAGTATATTGTGGCTTATGCTACAATTCCATAAGGTTACAAGGTCTACAGAGGACAGCGTTGGCTCCTGGAGCTGCGAATTCTCTAAAAGTACCTGTGCACGATGCAGCATTTAGAAGCACAGGACTGTGGCGTAGAGACGTTATGGGTCGGGTTACTCCTGGAGCCAGGGGATGCGCATCACTACCATCCTCCAACATAACAGAATGGTCGTCTAGTGCTTTTCTAAATGTGTGGACGCCTATTGAGAGGCGAATGAAACAATACATTGCATTAAGTTCTACTAATAGTGCAAGGAGACGGAAGGTAGTGATTTTTCGGAGGACAGAAAGACCACGAAAGCTGGGGCGGACGGAAACGGGAAAATGCGCAAGGAAGGAGGACAGACGAAGCCACATTGGCCTGAGGGAACGGGACGAGAACGGGTCACGAGCGGCGTCCGGTAGTGAGTCTGAGCCAGGCAAAACGGAGGGGGCATTCGTCGAGAACGGAATAAATGAAACAAAAGCGCGTTATTACAGCCTCCCGGATCGATCTCAGGCAGAGTGGTGCATCCATAGTTAAGCAAATCACGAGCTTTCGAACGACTCTGGTCCGATCAGATTGGGACGCGTAGAAGCGGAAATACGGGGGTGAAATGAGCAAGGAATATTCAACCTCGAGGTCCACAAAGTGCATTGGCCTGTCGCGAGCGAAAGCTAGGAGAGATGGTGCGTCGTGGAAAGACATGACTCGTTAATTTACTTCCACGTGAGTGCTGTGGTAGCTTGTGATCGTGCCAATAAAGATTGCTCCTTATTGCCGCGTCGTTCTTGCTACACTAGGGTTCCAAGGTACTTTAAGAGCTATATTGAGGTGCTGTATCCTCGTGCCCGTTTGTAGAGATCAGTTGTAGTAATGGCACTAAGTCTATCTGCAACTCGTCCCCTGGTAGCGTAAATGGCGCGCACCCAACGAACAAAGAAGAGACACCAGACGGGAATGAGTGCAGGAATGTCCATCCGGCAACGTAGTCGTCCGCAAACCTGATGCAGGTATTTTAATTCTGTTATCAGTCAGTCAAGCAGCATTCTTTACTCACAAAGCAGTCGTTAGATAAGGCATGCAAGTTTGATTGAAAGGAGGGGAGATAGAATTGGAGGGGCTACTCGTGCACAACAAGAGTCGCTGCAGCAAATGAACATAACCCGCTTCGGAGTCCGCATGACTCTTACGCTTTTTTCAGCAGCGCAGGCCGAAGACAGGCCATTTCAAGACACTAGTTAAGTTAGCGCCCAGAGGCGAAATCAGCTATGACACATCGTTGTTCTCTTAACAGCGCATCGTGCATTTGTAGCTCCGCAGCCCCCAACGCAGTCATGTTAGATGGATCACCTATACATTTGGTTACATAGCTAAGCTGAAACGAAAGATGCTCAAACGATATCCATGGGATGGGGTCCGTTGTTCGAGCTGCAGTTTGGCCTCCGCCATCCTCCGATTCTTCCGCTGCCCAGTAATATCTACAGCGGAATAAAACAAGGTTGCCCTTTGTCACTCATTTTTACATTCCCCAATGAGGAAATTATGGAAACTACGTTCACTGGACACAACCTACAAGAAGTGGAAATGCTCCCAGGTGAACGGCTTCTTCACCGTGCGGCCGCACTTTAACTCGGCTTTCGCTATGACCTCTGTGGCCACTCCAATTCTCCCCACACAATATTGTGTGTGCGCTCGTTCGAACCAGTTCGACGAGCTCTACTCAGTGCTTCCCAACTCTTGGATCTAACCTGTGTGGATTATACTCGTGCTCCAGTTCCCAGTTTTCGGCATATTCTTTGCCGAGTTCCACCTGTGTAACTGCATCAAACCGGGTTTTCGGAAAAGATTTTGGTCTCATTCGGAAGAAGTTGAGGGCTCCCAGACTACGCGCAACCATCCTTGCAAGTTGCAGCATGGTAAAGTTACAGTCAATTTGCTCCGCTCATCAACTGAGCAGCTCTAGGGACGCTTATCAGCGCTCCACCTGCATCGTCGCTTAAGGCACGCCGATTAACACACGCTGCCGCTTTGTGTGGGTGTGTGTGTTCAACTGCGAGTCGATTGATCGCTGAACCCGACAGTCTGTGCGTTACAACCTCCATCTGCCTCTACCACCTGACCTTGGTGCGGTTGAACAACTCTCAATTCGTGTGCGTGTTCTGACTTGTTTGTGTCACGTCTGGCGCAGAGAACACTCATCAAGGTGAGCGCTTAGATAGGCCTTGCTGTAAACAACAAGAGGACGACTAGCATTCTAATGGTTCAACGTCGCCTATGTTGCGCAGACAATTGGAGTAAAGTCCTTAAGGTCAGTGTAACTTGCTCTAGCTGCATTAGCTCGTACAGTCCGCAATGTGTAGGCAACTCCGTCCAAGAAGTGAGACAGACAAACAAAGTTGCTGACACAATTTGGTTTTACCGAACATGTCAAGTCATTCCCGTTGTCAGCTGTTTATCTTTGCTCATGTAAAATTACGATAGGATGACTGCGATAAGCGTCCATTTTATAAATATTGCGGTCCATCCCACGGAGGTAAATATGGCCACAATAATACCGCAACCAGCCAAAGTAAGCTCTGAATCTAAGCCGAAGAAGAGAACCAGACGCTCCAACCGCACTGCAGCGTCTGTGACTCTAAATCCACTGTATCACCTCACCCTCATAAGTGGACAAGCGTCAAAGTTGCCTGGTTCCACTTCTCCAACCATAGCCGCTTCACTTGGAGATTCAGCCATGACACCGACAGCTCAGAGCCGAGGGCAATCCGGTGAGAAGACAACAAGCGGGTAACATACGCACCTATTGCCTCGACAAACGCACCGGGAGCGATACACTTAGGCCCATCTTCTATACCGAGCACGCGTGGCGCAAAGCAGCTTTCACCGTCAACTCCAGTGGTGCCTTCTAAACAACCCAAATTGGCGTCAAAACTATAAGGCCGACACTCGCTAGACAAAATCAAGCTGCGTTAACTCTCTTGTGCACCAATGTTCCCGAACCCAAATCTGGCACAATAAAAGGCAAGTTGCAGGACGATCACAACCAGTGAAGTACCATCTGCGATGCGATTGGTATTCGGGTTGCGCCTGGAATGCTGCAACGCGTAGCGCGTCACCCGACCTCCGTGCACTCTGGTGAACCTCGAATTCTTCGAGTAACACTAGACTCAGCAGATGAAACAAAGGCTGTCCTGCTCTCAGCAGTTCGTCTTCGCAACTCACCGAGCGAAGTGCGCATATTACCTGAACTACCTTGGAAAGATCGCCCAAAAGAAGCGGGTGACCAACCAGGCCTTCCTAATAGTGATAGTAAGAAAACAATATTTATTCATGGTGTTCCAGAGCTTCTGCATTCTTCTGATTACGATGCACAAACTCATGACCGAGAGCATTGGAGCTACATCCGCGAAGTACTCTATGTTGACAATGATGTTGCCAAATATTTGACAAGCGTTCCGTCATCACCTAACTACATAGGCTGCGTTTCAAGGCTAATGAAAGCAATAATACACTCCGAGGGAATGAAGCAAGTTCTGTTGGATAGCTGGTTAAACTTTCGAGCTAGGTTGCCAACAGAGATCCGGCTAAAGTCAGCAGGCGAACGACCAAGAGTCGTAAGCAATTCGATGGAACTTGCAAACGCTGCAAATTCTTTATCTGCACAGTCCTGCAGAGAGACCGACACAACAGCGCTTACGGCAAACTAGAGGACCGAGCACAGCACAAGTGAAACGTCTATTCAGGAACGCTCAATAATGCCATGCAACTTGACTGAAATTCATAAACCAAAAAATGATTAGTTTACGGCCACCTAACGGCCGGCTTAGAAACTAACACAAAGTTGACATCCATCAATGAACTCCTAACAAAAAATCTATCTTGCATGTACACAAACGCCCAAGGCCTTCTAAGCAAGTTGGCCGAATTTAGAGAACTCCATGCCCCACAACTGCGGTACCTCGTCATGATTACAGAGATCTGGTTAAACCATGCGACAACCGATTCTGAGATCAATTTACCCGGTATGTCGCTGTTTCGGACTGATAGAACCGGAAGTGGTGGTGGTGCGGTTCTTTATTATAATACAAACCTCTGATGTGAAGCAATCGATCACCCGGAAATCCTAGCTGCTGCTTTGCTATGGTGCCGCCTATGGTTGCAAAACAATGACACATGTCTACTAATCGTGATTTACTGCCCAACAAACTCAACGTTGGAAATGGACGCCAAACTGAACCACGTTTTTCAGTTTACTTTGAACAAGTCCTACACCCACATTCTTACCGCTGGAGACTTTAACGTGCACGACATAGAAACGAAGGCAAACGACGGTACGCAGCTTAAAGTCTGCTTGCAAGAGCTAATTGCTAGCCACCTTCAGTACAACCACGGAATCACTCCCACTGGATTTCGAACCGCAAACAAGCCTTCGATACTGGATCTTGTGCTCAATTACGAAGAACTCATGGTTGACGGGACAGTTACAAGCACACCATTTGGTCGTAGTGATCATGTTACGCTACTCTTTGACTATATACGTTATGCGGAGTGTCCTGAAATGGAGGATGATAAAGTGCATACTGTCACGCACTGAAATTTGTTATCCCAGTTTGTTAAGGATACATCTTGGACTTTCTTAACCGAATTCCCTCAGATGTTGCCTGGGAAACTTTTACAAATACGTTTAGCACACTGGTTGCTCACACATCGGAATAGTAGTTCTTTCAACCCCATAACAAGCATAAGTCATTTCTGAGGAGCAGAACACGTAAATGTATGTCCCGGAGGGATTT